ATACCCTCGTCTCGACATAGCTGTTGAAAGAATTTGAAGTATACTCACCACCATTGTCGGATCTTAATTTTTTGATCTTTCTCCCTGTCTGCAATTCCAATCTTCTTTTTCACTCCACAAATATCTCTAGGATGCCACTCTTCTATTTCATAGTATATACCCAACAACGCCTAGAATAATCATCCACAAAAGTGATGAACTAATATCGTCCACCAAGTGATGCTGTCTTGGTGGTACCCATACATCCTCATGCACATAGTCCAAGATGTCGTTAGTTTTATGAATGGCTATCCCGAACTTCACTTTAGTCTTCTTGCTAAGAATACAGTGCTCATAAAACTTAATTTTCCCACTCTTGGCTCCTTTCAATAACCCCTGCTTGCACAACGCCTGCAATGGTTTTTCCCTTGTGTGCCCAAGTCTGAAATGCCAAAGTCTACTAGAATCTACCTCTAAAACTGCTGAAGCTACATGGACAATCTTGGTACTTCCCTTCAAATAATAGAAATTTCTATTGCGGACCTCTTTCATCAGTACCAATGATCCTTTAGTAACTTTAGCTACAACGTTCTCTAAAGTTACCTTGAATCCTTTTGCCTCTAACAGAAATGATATTTTTCTTCAGTTGATGAACAAACCTTACTTCAGTCAACTCTTTAACAACTCCACCATACATCCGAATCCTTACAGTACCTATCCTACAAATGCCACGCGATTAATTGTTTCCCATGATCACCACACCCCCATCGAGCTTCTCAAAAGATGTAAACCAATCTCTCTGGGGAGTCATATGATAAGTAGCCTCAGAATCTAGCATCCAATCCGATGCTTCCGTATGGTTAATCTCTGGAGTAATGGAAAGAGAAAAACATGAATCATCAGAATCATTACCATTTCTAGCAACATTCACCTCACTGGCCTTCGGGTCCTTCTTCTTGTTGTTCTCCTTCTCTCTCAGCTTCAGGCAATCTCTCTTCCAATGTCCTTGTTCTTTACAGAAAGCACAATGGTTTATAGCAACTTGGTAGTGTCCTCTTGATTGTCCTTTAGACTTTAACATGCCCCGATTACCACCTCTAGGATAGGTACTCCTTCCTCTTGTCGACAAGCCTTCTCCTGATGTGCTAGCTCTGGAAGATTCTTTATCCTTCCTCCTCAAATCAAAATTTGTCAATGCATTTGTAACTTCACTATAGGTGATAGAAGATCTACTATTCAACAATATAAGTACAAAGGTGTCAAAATCTTCATCGGGTAATGAGACTAACAAAATAATCTTCTTGTACTCATCCAATATCTTCTCATCAATATTAATTTGCCAAGTCCGACAACAACTTTGTATAGTTATTCACATGATCTGCAAGTGAGGTATCTCTGGACTCCTGGAATCTGAATAATCTCTGCAGCAAGTGTAACCGATTCTCAACACTCTTTGTAAAATACTTATTATTGATAATCTCTCACATCTTCATCGCAGATGTCACTCTAATAACATCATATTTTAACTCTTGTTCTAAACAAGACTTAATCACCCCACAAACATTTCTATTCATTTTGTCCCACGCAGTCTCATTATATTTAGGTGGCCCCTCATGGGCTATTATTGTCTCTTCTAAGTTTTGAGCATTTAAAGCATCCTACACATCACTCATCCATAACCCAAAATTAATTTTACCGTCATACTTCACAACACTGATCTTCATATTCTGAAGTGCAACCTGAACTGTACTTGACATAGTCTTGCTACTATCACCACTTTCTTTTGCCATTACTTACTAACTCCAAATTGTAGAGGAAAAATTCAAAAATAATAAAGTTGAGAAATTATCCAAATTGAATCCTATATAAGATTCCAAAATGATCTCCCAACCATACGAGGAAGGCTAGATCTCCAATGGCAACTCCGCAACGCTACCTCCACCAAAACCTAGATCTCCAGAATTCAAGCTTCTAACACCGAATTATCCTCCACCTAAATCAAACCCTAGACATAAAACCTTGCTTTGATACCACTTGTTACGCTTGACGAAAGCGGACTCAATCCACAACAAGTTGGTAAGCAATGCACAAAGAACACAACGAGCACAATCCACAATTTAAATAAGCAAGATCAATCACAAACATAGAGAATTACGTGGTTCGGCAAGGTGCTTATGTCCACAGGGAGAGGATGATGATATTTCACTATATGGAGAAGAAATACAATGGATTATAACTCTTAAATAATTAAAATAACCCTCACCAACAAGATCTCACTCACCTCCAAAGAATCTCCCTTTTAAAGTGCTCAATCAACTCTGATAAAAACCAATTTTTTAATGTGTGTGTGTGTGTGTGTGTAAACCCTAATGAAGAAGACATAATTGGGCTTTTAACTTCTCCGTTTGCTCTAGATCAGTCGATCGATATTCTCCATCAGTCGACCGATATCATGCACAAGAACAGACTGCATCATATTCTCTCTGGTCAGCCGACTGATACATGGGATCAGTTGACCAACCAGAGAGAACTTTCAACAATATATTAATATATTATAAAGGAATAATTTTTATTTATGAATATGAATACTATTTGAAAATCAAATTCTTTAACGGAATAAATATACTTTGATATTCGTTAAGTATTCATGAATATTCATGAATATTAATCAAATACCGAGTATTCAAGTTCAAATTCAAAAAACTCCGGATATGAGTATTAGAGTCTGCATTCGAATTCAATAATTTTAAACAAACACAAATAAAAATAACTTAGTATTCGATTCGATTCCATCCTTTACCACCCCTAATAATGAACTTGCTTTAAATAACTAGAATAACATCAACCACGTTATTAGGCTTATATCAAAATTAAACACCACGTGTACCCTTTACAGTGTCATACAGGATAGTCATTGCAACACCCTCGGATACCAACATAGTGTTTTCTTATTAATTTGTGTTGATTACTAAGTAATTTAAATTTAAATTTAAATATGACATCATTATTTGTCACCTTCTTATATAAAATAGGCATGTTATTTACTTTATTTACAAAACAAAATCATATAGCAGGGGTTCAGAAATCAACAACTACATGATGCTCCTCTAGTTTAGAGACGCATCAACTTTGTTGTCTTCTTGAGCGCAATCTTAGTACATATCTATCCATCTATCTATTTACTACTTCTTTTAACTTAAAAGCAAAACATTAAAATCATTATTCAAGCTATAATATAGCACATAATATTAAAATTATCGTGCTACATCAATTTTTTATTCTTTAGGACTACTGTTTACGCTGCATTGATTTTTTTCATTAGAAACCATTTACACTACAGTGAAAATTTTGGCTCTTTATCTATTTTTCAAGTTGAATTAAATTTTTTATTCTACCATTTTAAAAACAAATACTATTCATATCTACTATATTTATTCTTGCAAATAATGATTTTAACCTTTATCAGATATTTCATAATATAATTTTTTTCTAATTCTATTTAAAAATTTGATAAAACTTGCTGGTTAGTGTATTATTTTGTTAACTAGTTTGAAGATTTATTCTGTAAATAGCAGTAAAAAATTTATTGTTGAATTTTTTATAAACAATTATATATATTATCAATTTGGCGATATATGTACCTTGGTAAATAACACCGGCAGTAATGCGCGTGCTTGATACTAGTACTATTATAATCGGCAAGATGTTTCCCCTTAATTACCAAACTAGAACTGTAGAACATTTTTAGGAAATTGACAAGTACATTGACATACTACCTTGCTAGTATGTCAATGTAATGAGAGAGAAAAAGCTCTCTTTTATATATAATTCTTTTTAGTAGACGCGTCTCTCCTTCCATATATATCTTTTACCGTGGAGGTTTATCACACGATATTTGCATCTACTTTTCATGCGTGCATGACATCGTACTTAGTCCTGAGAGAGAGAGAGAGAGAGAGAGAGAGAGAGAGAGAGAGAGAGAGAGCACATACTTTTCATGTATCGCAAAATAATCCAAGGTCTGATCATCTTCTGATCTCATTACCAATCGGTTTCTACAAACGATCTTTTCAACCATAAAAAGAAAAATTTGAACTACGGTCTTACGTACCCTAGTAATTGAACACGGTAATGTATAGATTTTTTTATACGATTGATCTGTATCTAGACATCACTACACAACAAGAATTTGAGAAAGTTTGAGGATCTTATATTTTACTCTCACTGAATAATAAAAGTATTGTTTAACCAATTATCCCCTTGACTTTTTTAACTTTTATATTGATATTACCTGACCGTACAAGTGCACAAAACATGCAGCTGAAATACCAAAACAAAAGCAATTGAAAGAAGATACCAAGATTTATATGGTTCGGCATGCTACATCCGTATGCAAAGAGAAGATGAGAGGTTCATTATAAAAAGTTCAAATATAAGATAGGAGATAACGTTAACAACTATGTCGACCATGCACGAATTCATTTTGCTCACCAAACAAGCAAATATCTCTCTCTCTCTCTCTGAGTGTGTCTCTTTCTCGCTCTCTCTTAGCAACCGCACATACAATAAAGCTAGCTATCTGTTTCTTTTGTTTGCTGTAGCCTGTAGGATACAAGGCAACAAACCATTGGATAATTTATAATTTAGAGAAAACTACTTCAAAACACATACTTATTAGCGAGGCTCACATCCATTCGGCCTCTCTTTGAAGTATGAAAAACTTTGCTATTGTAATTATATATTTTTTCCATTAAATTTGTACCCTCCTCCCCAACTAGCAGCAATACCAAGCTAAACGTGCAGAGGACCACGTGCTACTCACCCTGGGAGTCACCTCACCGGCAGTGACCCCACCCCTACTCCCCAGCGGCATAAAACGTCGGGAAATCCGCAAACGGACTCTGTAATCTGTATCGGATACGACACCAGTTACAAGCCTCTTGGCCGTAACGTCCTCCTTATTTCCGCGCAAAGCGACGGCCCTCAATGGCCCCCCAACCGTAATTTCGTCCAAACTCTGTGCCCTGTTACCCAAACCTCGGCTGAGTCGAGGAATCTAAAATGAAAATAATGAAATGGGATGAAAAAATAAATTATTATTAGTAAACGCATCACCCTTCCATGCCCCCGACCTGAACAAAACGAAACGAAAATTTCCCAAATTAGAAAGGAAGAAAAAGGAAAAGTTTACCAAAAAAAAAAAGAAGAAAGTTTGACGGGAGTCGTGGAATCCGTTGGAATTAATTGCATCCTTTTGGATGTATTCTCTCATTAATTCTTCTTTTTCTTTTATAAATACCCAACAGAGCTCCCCCTTCTCTCTCCATCACTCTCAGTGTGTCAATCATTGTTAATTTGAGAAGAGAAAAGATGGAGATGGGTGAGTTTTGTTTCGTTTGATTTGAGTTGGGTCTGTTTATTTTGGGATTTTAATAGTGTATTATTATTATTATTATTATTATTTTTGGATTGCAGTTTTTGGGAATAAGAAGTTTGAAGGAAAGGGGAGCAGCAATCAGAAGAAGCAGAGGAGGGGGTCCACTAAACATTATGGTGGTGGTAGTAGCTTTGGGAGGCCACCTCTGTCTCCTGGTATTTTTCCCAAATGGGTTTTTTTTTAAAGTTTGCATGAGGTGATTCTTTGTGATATTGGATGTTGATTGTTTTTTAAGATAGTTTGGGTTGATGCTGTTATTTGGCCTAACAGATAAATTTTCTTGATGTATTTGTGGGTTTAGGTTGAAATATTTATTGAGTTTTTGGTTTCATCATTTGGTTTTTGGGTGGGTTTCAATGCATGTAGTTGAAATTTTCTTGATATTGGATATATATATATTTTAGTTAGTTGAAGAATACCTTCTTTTTGGAATAGAAATTAGAGGGGAAAAAAAGTATCAAAGTGATCTTTTAAACTATTATGTTTGATTTGGTTTCATAATTTGACTTTTGTTGCTGAGTTGTTTACTATAATATATAGTATCATGTTGGTGTTGCGGTTATTGTCATGTCATTGTTAAGAAGCTTGAATTTTAATGTTCTCATGAGCTTTAGATCAGCAAGGATGTTTATGGTTGGTGAGGGGATTTTTCTAGAGCTTTTCAGCTGTGCAGTATTATAGTACCTCTTTTTGGCCTGCACAGAAGAAACATGTATTTCATAATACACGAGGCATCATTATATTATCATCATTTTTTTCGTATATGCTTTCATTTGGTAGTTGATTGAGTAGAAACTCTTAAAAAATGAGAAAGAAGTCATGTGTTTGTTGAGGTTGAGTCCCTGAGATATGCTTTGAGAGATTTCTGTGAGTTTTTCTCCTGAAACTTTCTGCGTAACGATTTAATAATCTGTCAGTCCTATTAGGTTAATTTTTTTTGTTCCATTTACTTGAATTATGAAGAGGCTTTCATTTTAGTACTAACACTTTGGTGAAGAACGGGGTTTGCGGGGACTGTCTCTGTATTAGTTACTAGTTTCCATTTAAAATGCGCCTTCAACATTGTAGTAGAACTATTTAGTTATGATCATGGAAAATCTGATTTTACTTATTAAAAATAAATGTGCTCTCCTCATATTCGACATCGTATGTAGTTAGATTTAACCATGAATTGATATGTACCTGCTTTCCACTTGTTTTATATGCTTTATCTGTGAGTTGATTGAGTAGACGACTTTAGAAAAAAGAAAAAGGAGAAATAAATCATGTGTTTATTGAGGGTTTGAGATATGCTTTCAGATTGTTCCATTAGTTTTTATCCTAAAAGTTCTGCTTAACTGTGTCATAATCTCAGTTAGTCCTTTGATTAGGTTAATCTTTTTGTTTGTTTACTTGAATTATGATTTTTTGGTTTTAGGAGGATTTCATTGTAGTAGCATTATGTGCTCATCATTATCCAGTTAGATTTAATGATAAAGTAATAAGTATGTGCTTCCAATTATTTATGTGATGCTGGAAACCTTTGTCGTCATTGCTCGTGCATGCATGCATGCAAAACTCTTAGTTTACGTCGTCTTTTTGTATAAATATATAATACATAATATTTCCCAGGATATACATGGATATTGGAAATTTAATGTTTCTGTCGTAAGTCTATGCATCTATCCTTGTCAAAATTTGTCATAGAAGGACTTTTGATAATTTTTTGTGGTTCGTTACTAATGATATGATCTTATTTATCGTATACTATAGCTTTCTCTAGTACTTATTTGAATTATTCATTGTCCTGTATGCACTTAAACCTGTTTTAGTACTTTTCCTTTCCTTCTTCTTTGTTGACATAAGTGTATACAAGTTAGGCTACTGGTACTCCTAGGATACACCGCTACTTCTAGGATATCCTATTGAATTTAACTAGTTTTATTGTTATAATGATGGCATGTTTAGACTTTTATCGTGGATTCTCTTGATTGATTGAGTGCTTGCTTTCCTATTATTGTGTATTCATTATGTAAGGGTTAGAATCACTTTTTTGTCTTTTATAAATGTAAAACTCATAGATTGCATGTCTAGATTGTTAACTTCCTAAGCAATTAGTGTATCCACACAGAGTGCTTTTCTTATGGAACGAGAACTTTGTCCTACAAAGATGTTATGTTTGCTTATGCGTTTATGTTCATTTAAGAAGATGGGGATGCTATATAAAATAATAATTACTTGAGAAAAATTATTTCTTACCTATTAATTTGACATATCATTTTGTCTAAACTACATTCTAATCCTCTTCCAGTTACCCTTCTGTCAGATTGTTGGAACTTTTCTCTTCTCTGCTTTGCTGAATCTTTCTAAATACATGAGTCACTTTTGGAGGAAAAAAAATCATTTTTTATAAAAACCAAATCATAAAGGTTCACTTCCTTTTTTTATTCATCCCGAATCTATCAACATATAAAGTAATATCTAGAAATAATTGGTATTTATGACTAATGAAGTAGCCATATCTAGGACTCTAATGTGGTCTTTGATGGATTAGTTATTGGTGGTTTTGGCTAATTCTAGCTTTGGAAGTATGGAAAACCTCAAAATCTCTTACATCTTTGCATAGTATGGCTACAGTATTTTATTATTGGCTGGTTTAGTTTTTTTCAAGTTGATTAGAGTTTCCAAATTCCTTCCTAGCTATGTACAGATGACCATAGTCTTTTATGCATTCATAGTTTTGCTTTCATAGATGACCATAGTTTTGCTTTCATAGATGACCATAGTTTTATGCATTCATAGTTTTGATGTATCAGGAGCATGGCATCCAACTGTTCCACAGTGGGAGAAGAAATTCTGCACTTATGTCTGTTCAATCCCATGGAAGAAACTGTGCGAGACAAAAAAGCTGATGTACATGTACCCTAAAATTGTTGAGTGGAACGATTCCGAAGGCGAAGAGGCTTTCCATAATGCAAAAGCTCGTTATTGGGCATCCATCAATTATCTCCCTTGCCCTGTTCCTTTGCCTGATCCAGACAAATATACTGATATCGTCGACTATAATGCTGCTGTTGATCCTGAGCTCATCGAGGATTTATATAAACAGCCACCAGTCTCTGAGGATTCTGAAGGGGAAAAGGGTATCCTTTGGGATTCTTTTCTTTTCACAACTGATACTGTTCCTGTCACTGGCTGGGGTGATGAAGAAGATCAAGATCGTACAGTTTATGCCACTGATCACTCTATCCAAATTCAACCTACTGGATGGGGTGATGACGATGCAAGTCCGACTACTTACAACAATGATCAATCAATCAAGATCCGACCTACTGGATGGGATGTCATTGAAAATCCTCCAAATGAAGAAAGCCCTAAGGATAATCCTGCAGATTATCTGTGTGGAATGAATTACTCATGGCACCAAGATTCATCTAAAGCTCGTAGTGGATGGGAGTGGCAGAAATCCGTGTCATAATTGATGGTTTTTGCACAGAAATGGATTACCCAGAGATTTTTTCAAGCAAACACATAAATGTGTTTTTTTGGGGTAAAAGGTATCAATTACTTCTTTGAATCTGGTTTTGTAGAGTGCCTATGGTTGAATATAGGCATGGGTGCAATGTCAGCATCCTCTAGCTTTATTATTTAGTTGCTTGTATAGATTTTCTTCTGTTTTTTATTTTGTTCCCTTTTGTCAATCCATTTTTCAATTATTAATGTTCCCTTTTGTTAATCTTTTTTTTCTGGATATTATCGTGCTGCCTTCTACTTACAATACGATACAGACGCTATGGAAACTTTAACTAGGACATAGACATTTCAAGGTTATGACTAAAATTGTGTATGAATGTATCATATATAAATTTCAATTTGTACATGCACCAAAAAAGATACGACATAACAGATATTACAATTCCTATAAATTCAGATATGGTGCAGCAATAATACAATGGTACATGTGTATATGAAAATGTTCCATATATTAATATTAAGAAACTGAACAAATTATGCAAATCAAGCAGAACTAGGAACACATCCTTCAGACATTCATTTGGCATGCTACACAGGGAAAAATCTCTCTCTTTTATTGTTAAGCATCGATGATAATGGAGAGTCGATTTATTACACACCCATGGAAAATTGCATTTGCTGCTTGTGTTGTTAATCACTGTGAAAATGTATGCAAGATGCTATTTTCTTTATTGACAATGGTTGGTATGATTTTGTGGTACATACGAACTAATATTGTATATTGTATTTGAAATATTTATTATCCATGCTTGTTCTTATGTTATACTGATTTTCGAGGCTAGCATCTCAAGCAGTTATTTGCTAGAATACTTGTTTGGACTAGAGAAGCCACCCTGAAATATGGTGCATGCTGTTTTAAGATGCAGCCTAGATGGTTTTGCCATGTCTAAAAGGTGTCCATTTCTTTTCTTTTCTTTTCTTTTCTTTCTTGGGTCAGGAGACTCAGGACAGGTTTGTGATGATTTGACCTTTGGCAGCAGGGTGTTTAGTCCTACTGTGCTATGTATAAGTAAAATAGGTCCAATACATATTGTTGTGTCTTACCTTTGCATGATTAATGTGGATTACCTACCAGGCTAAAGATTTTCACAGTGATGTTAGGTTTGCATGCGTATTTAGGAAGAATTTTTCTCTAAAAAAAATAGCTTTAAAGCTATATATACCTAAGAAGAGTGTGAAAATGGATGTAGAGATCCTTCCCCCCTCCCCTATGTGACATGTTTTTGCAGTGCACATGTGTCTATGCCTCTTTGGGAAGAATTTGCAAATTCCAATTCAAGCCATTTTTCTCATTTCGGACCCATCATATTAAGATCACTCCATGTAGCTCATCTACTTTGATTGAAAGAATTACCTATGTATCAAGCAGACACAAAGTGAACACTGCACCCCCACCACAAAGTTGGAGTTTGGGTGTAGTGTGGAAGAGTCCTTTGTCATGGTATCAGAACAACCATGGTTCAAAAATCCAGTGGCCACAAATTTAAAGTGGTTCTAAAACAATGATGCCGCTGCTTGAATTTTGGTTTCGGCCCATAAAAGCGGGTCTCAACCTTAGGGCGATGTTAGAATATAAAATTATTTATGTATAAGTACATGGATATATAATATATATGTATATATGCATACATAAGAATAATATATATGTATATATGCATACATAAGTAATATATATGTGTGTACACGCACACAAGTATACATAAGTAATATATATGTATATGTGTATGTGTATATGTACATATATATACTTGTGTGAGAAAAATGAATGTACTTCGTATCAAACACAAATTTGGTGTTTGGTAGTGACGTGGAAGTTTCTCATGTACACATTTAATGATGCCCATTTAAGGATGGTCCCGTCTTAATTATCCACATATCAAATGAGCGGACGTGAAGTATAGATCACTACCGAGCACCAAATCTGGTGCGTGGTACCAATCATATCCGTATTCCTCTACTTACATATATATAAGTTTATAAGTACATATACATACAATAAGTACATTTATATGCTAGGCTAGAAGTTTGGAGACCAAACAAATATTGGTGCTTAATGGGTTTTTAGTTGTTTAGATCATAATATAAGTAATTGGAGAAGTTATTTGTATGGCCAAACTCATTGATGTAACCTACTTGTGATAGTTTGTTTGTGTCTAAATCTACTTGAAGATTAAAGTATTGTTTTGCTAAAAATCTAAAAATTACTGAATCTTCTCCTTTCTCTATCATCCAGCCGGAGCTGGCATACAATTCCTTTATGTTGGAAAAATATTTATGTTGATTTTCCTGATCTCAAACGCGCGCACACACTCACACACACACAAAAAAAAAAAACCGGAACCTTTTTCCTTCCATCTGATGGCCTCAAAATCTATAGATAAAAAGGAAGTAAATCACCACATTTTTTGGTGTAGGTATGGAGATCAAGAAGAATGATATTGATCATCTAATTGAATGGTGAAACTAGACTTTTACTGCCATGAAAGGAATACTTTCCTAACAGCTGATAAACCCATTAATCTCTATGTATATGTATGTACATATTGTAGGATCATGTTTTGCTTATAGTTGGGGTTTGTCTGGAATTAATCTGGCCACAGGTTCAAAGACCAAGTTCGCCTGAAAATTCAGGCCTTAAGTAGAATCACCTAGTTGACAGCCTGAACAGTCATAAGGACAACAATGATTGTATACTTTAGTTCTAATCATGTAATTCTACATAAAGAATGTTATGATAATCACTTAGACAAACAATCAATCATGAATACAGAATTAATAAGACAAGAAGAGATGACGCACACACCCATACACACAGTTCAGTGACTGACCCACATCCACAACTAAAGAGCAGAGATTTTCACTAATCAAATACTAACGGGTTATAGCAGAGGAAGAATGCTCAAATTCCAATCTCAACACCTCAAATTTCATATGCATAAGGCGGTTTCCTTCTCTCGTATGCAGAGTCTTGTGGAGAATCTAAATGTGTATAGGTATTAGAGTATAAACTTATGAGCCTCAAACTTATCACATCTTCAGAGTTTTGAGTAGTGAAGGGACCTTTGATCATAGCGACCCCGGTTCAAGTCAATATAAAGAGGAGGGTCACATTAGGTAGCTAATAACCAGCATGAAACCTAGTGAGGCCTCTACAAAATGAATCCTAAAGATTTACCCAATCCTAAAATTTTGGAATAACGGCTTTGTTGTTGTTATTATCGTAGTGAATAGCTAGCATAAAACCTAGTGAGGCTTCTATGAAATGAATCCTAACGATTTAGCCGATCCCAAAATTTTGGGATAAGGGCTTTGTTATTATTATTTTTTGACTTTCATTTTTCGTATGGTGGAAGGATTATTACTGCACATTCACTTCAACACACCATAACACTTGGGTGATTAATTCCCCCTGCTCAACTAGTAGGTTTTTCTGATATGTCATAGCCTCAATGAAATAGGGCACATACTGGCATGATTGCAAGGACAAAGTTGTTCTTTGTCTTCCGAACACATAGTGTATGAATTGCTCTCCAGTATTGCTGACATGTTGCTAGTGGACACATATAACATACTAGTTCAAATCTGCTGTCCTTGTTCTTTAAGATGCTTATCAAACTGTGAGAAAAGAACAAGATATAAGAAACAGGTGGATGGTTTTATCACACAAATGTCTAAATTTCCATCCCATTTAAGTGTCCCCAGCAGCATGTAATGAATGTCCACCTCATTAATGGATTTAATAACAATAATAATTTCCTGCATCCTGTTGCTTTCATGTCTTACACCTTATCTCTGCAGCATGCCTCATGGTATTGAAAGGGCATCAAATGCATGCCTTCCTCTTTGTTAGGCTTCCAAACTGCCTACCTTGCTATTTTAGCACTACCCTTCATGTTCCTTGCATTCTTCTAATCCCCAGTTTCTTATCATGTCAGCACACGGTTTATGTGGAGTATCAGGAAAGGAAATTATGTAATCAACCACATGGAAGCACTCAGCAAATGAACTGCAAGGCAAGTATTTATTCTTAGTATCTTAAAAATGCGTGGGTACACAGCCAGACACACACACACACACAAAAATATATATGTTCCTTGATTATTTGTATCATTTTTCTTGAAAAAGATGCACTTTAGTTGTTCCTAGGATTTATTGGAATTGTTGCCACATAGCTTTCTTTCGTAGAAAGCCAAGTAACTAGAATAGTAAGAGGGGTAGTTAACAGATCCTTTCCTGAGATGAAAAGGAAAGAAGATATGCCATAAGTTTTTTCTATGACATTGTTATTTCCGAAATCGTTCACCTTTTTCTGAACTCATTCACCATCAGAATGAAGCATATGATGACTATTTGTTAGCTGATACCTTGTTCAAAACTTCAAATATAAATTTTGCCATAGTAAAAGCCTCTAATGAAATAACAAATGACTGCCAATTCTATTGAGGATCTTCCCACATGGACAGAACCTTTTCCTGAGATGGAAAAAGAAAGAAGATATGCCATAACGTTTTTCTATAACGTTGTTTCCATCTGAATTCATTCACCTCTTCTGAATTCGTTCACCATCAAAATGAAGCATATGATTACTATTTGTATGGCCGGTATCTTGTCCAAATCTTGATTTTACCATAGAAGAAGCCTCTAATGAAATAGAAAATGACTTTCAATTCTATTGAGGATCTTCCCACATGAACTTAGTTACTTTGTTAAGCTGCTTTTGTGATTCCTTCTTTTTCTCCTTTCTGTTCCTTTTCATTTTTTTATTCTTCCATGTGAGTAAGGTCACACTAAATGTTATTGATTGTCACTCAGCTGCATGCCGCCATCTGTTGCTGTCATTTTAAAATATTGATGAGGGCGATATGTGAGTTACTTCGATAGAAAGTCAATGAAAGTCTAGAATTAGCTGGTAGAAGCAGCAGAAAAGATGATGGCCTGCTCTTTATGGCATCCTTCACGTCTATGTGTATGTTTGTGTAGGCATTTACTTACCATAGCTTTCATGTTTTTTCCTTGCTTTGCAGTATTGGATTTGATTTAGTCCCTTCTTACAGCTTGAAAAACAAAAGCCTTAATCTTAACAAGAGACGACCTCTAAAACTGAGCTCCAAAAATCGAGGTAATATTTATTTTGAAAGTACCCTAGAGTGGGGGTAAATAGGGTAATTGCTAATCTACTCTGATATTGATGCCAAATTAAAACTTATTAACTAATATCCTAGCAATATGATGTATAATGAGATATATGTAAGGATAAACAATCCGTTCTTAGCATGAGTTCGGTCAACCCTCGACCTACGTATCCGCTCTTCACCTCGAAGAGATTCTCCACTATCTCAAAATCACTACACAATCGGTTTCAAAGCTCACCGAAAACTTTTACAATTCACACGTTGTCAATCTCACAATACACTCCTCTAAGTATTAGCCTACACGTGTCACATTCCTCAAGTGCTTAGAATTACTACCTCTGCCTAGGCTTTTACAACCAAGCCACTCCTCTTGGAATTGACCCGGTCTCTCCCAATCACTCCTCTAAGTATCTTTGTGTATTACAACATGTTCTCTCAATGTAAGTGCAAATATGAGATTTGTTGTCTAATACAAATGAGAACGAAATTGAAAGCTCACTTAATGAATCAACCCCACAACCAAAATATACTATATGTGAAATATTTAAGCTCAAGTGATTGTGTGTGAAAACAATAAGTAATAATAAAATTAAACTCAAATTAATCTAGCAAATATATATATGAGAATCAAAATGTAAAAGCTAGATAAATGAATTTAGAAAAACTTCTCTAAACAAAGAGGGATGAAGATTTGAGGTAAAACTCCTCAAAGATGAAAATGAAATCCTCCTCTTTGTGAAACTCTCTTCACATAAACAAACACTTGATTTTCTCTTAAAACTCTTTAAAACAAACTGATAAGACTCTTTTGTAAACTTTCTTTATAAACCAAATGAATCAAGAGAGCTATTTATAGCCTCTCCAAAGAAACCAAAACAATCAGCCAAAAACTAGTCGTTACAGCCTAAAATGACCGTTATTGATCGACGCCCAAAATGACCGTTATCGATCGACTGATCGAACAGATCGGTCGATTGCTAAGTCTGAAAATTCAGACACTGGAAACCAGCTCTGGCCGATCGACTGATGTGTTGCATCGGTCGACCGATGACACTGTTCACAGTCGACTGATAAGGATATCGGTCGACTGAAAACACTGTTCGGTCGACTAATAAAGATCGATCGACTGAACAGAAACAATTAAAAATATAGAGCAGTTTATCGGTTGACTGGTTTGAACAGTCGGTCGACCAAAAAACGTGCACATCACATATTTGAACAGTAAACTTGATTTTCAAAGTGTGTTTAAAAATAGTAAATAAATTTCAAAAATTATGAAACTTAGAGAAATGTTTATTTTAATGAAAACAAACATGTGAGAAAAGGAAATTTTAAGTATCATTTTTCGTTTGTGAAAACTCGACATTTTGCAAAATCTCAAAAATACGAGTTCGTTTAAACACTTGATTTTGACAAAACGATTTCAACTAAGTTTTAGAAACCTTTTGAATGGATTAATGGACTTAGAAATGATGTAAAACTAACTTAGTAAGTCAATAATCCAAATATACGTTATTTTCTCAAAACGACTCATACTACAAGAAATAACGTGTGTGTATAAGAATTGAGCTTTTAAGCATAACACATAAAGTATAAACCTAAACTACTATACCCAAGTAATAAACCTTCAATTTGCTCGTTTTGTTTGCGGATGAAGCGATGATGAATCTTGACTTGAATTGCGACAATTTCATTTCGATTTTCTTCCAACCTCCTTTGAATGTTATCGTTAAGCTCAATTCCAACCAACCTCAAACAAAGGATCTTTGTGTAGGATACCTAACAATTAAATACAAACACTCGATAAACGATGTTAGAAATTATTTATTAATA